AGGGAAAATATTCAACACAATAGTGTTCATGCAGTCTTTGTTTCTTCTCTCCAATCACATGCACCCCCAACAAAGGTTATAAAATATGTGTATGTCTAGGAGCACAAGAAATATCTCCATTGAAAACTTAGCATATTTAAAATCACCAGTGAAGCTAAGTAAAAGCAAGGCACCTAGGTATTTCAGGAAAGAATTCCTGAATGTTATGTTTTGTTTATAAGTAAAGTGGGTACATAGACCTGTTCAGGCACCTCCAGGTATTTTCTATAACACACAACACCATCATGTAATCAAACATTAAAACAGCAACAGGAAAAGTTGAGGACTATATTTAAAGCAAGGGAAATGGTTCAATGACCTCAAACCAAGATATTTCTTGTAAAACCTCTTTTTGCTTACTCATGTTTTCTTTCTTTATTTAGTCGCTTATGACAAGGTCCCAGGTGATTTACCCTTCCTGTGACCTTATGTCTTTTCACTGAAGTGGTGACCCCATATATTAATGTGGGTTTTGAGGCTGCCTTTTAAAGCTTTTGTTCTCATTTCAGCTGTTATTGATAAGCACTTGTTTTCTTAAAGTATTACATGCAACATAGACATTTCCACTTTCCATGAGCTGTGGATTCACTCTACAGTGTGTGAGGGGCTGGGGTACTCCCAGGTACCCACATCTGCCCTCCCGCCCAGCCTGAACTCTGCTTCACCTCTCTGAGCACCCAGCAATACTTCCTTGGCCAGACCAGCCCTCTGAGCTTTTGTCCCAAACAATAGCATGCAGCACTTCTAATTGCTACCAGGTTAAAACAAAACAAAACAAAACAAAAGTAAAAACAAAAACAAAAACAAACAAACAAAAAAAGTAATGCACACACACACATATATATGTATATATATATACACACCCAGCCCAGGTGAGGAAAAGTAGAGTCTGTAGTTCTAACATGGAAATATTAATGTCAACTGAGTTTATATTTCAAAGTGACTTGGAAATCTCTCTCTTGCATTATTTTTCTGTTGAGGGTCTAGTGCTATACGCGCGCACACACACACAAACCCAGAAAACCCCTGTAAAACTCCCCAAAAAACAAAGAAATAAAAATCTTGGGAAGCAATCCTACTTCATAAAGTAAGAGTGCACCAAGATTTCTACTGACTTCAACAGGATTTCAGCCTTTGTCATGTCAGCAAAAGTCGCCATCTGTTGACAAACAAAGCAGAGGATGGATGAAACTTGTCTTTCTGCTCTGTCTCAAACTTTTCACACCTGCAGACCTTTCCTGCAGGGTTCAGCACTGCCTACAGCCAGAAGCAGTTAGGACAAAAAAGATGGTCCCTAAGTGGGATCTCATGTAACAATTCCTGAGTTTCTAAATCATTTGTGAAAACCTATGTGCAAATTGTTCCTGTTTTACATGGATCTCTGGGAATTGAGTCCACTGTAGAAACTTGACTCACTGTTGCTTAGCAAAGTTGGTACTGAATAGCACGAACACTGTTTTTCATGTTCAGTGCTGCAGGAAGATTTTCTTTTTATTTGGGCAGGGTCATAAAATTTGCATTATCTATTCAATATATTAGAAAAAACCCTTTGTCTTTGCCTGTGCATGTCAAGCCATCTTTTCCTCTGTCAGGGAAAACTGACAGGTTGCCTGCCATCATATACTCTCTAGCAAAACCAGCAGTCTGCACTGTCAGTGTGAAAACATCTGTTGAATGGATTTATTGACCAGGTCTTAGGTGTGAGTTGTTGGTTGTTTTTGTTGGTTTTTTTCCACACTGTTTATTACAGCCCTGACCTAATGAACTTGCTATGTTGACATGTTTCCCTCAGTGTCTTACTTGATCCAGTCTCACATTTCCTTCTACTGTGCTGTTTTCTTGGAAACAGGAGTTCCTGGCACATCGGCGTGTCCACCAGTTGCAAATCTACCAGGCTCAGATGGCTACAGTTGGCATGGCTGGATTAGATAAACATCGGCCAGTGTCCAGGACCCCATCTTCCCCTGCTGATTCCACATTACCTCACCCAGACATGGACCAGCCCAGCCAGAATGTCTACACGACTGGTAGGATTCCCTAAAGATTGCTTTTAATAAGCAGGGCAAATGTGTTTGTTCATGTAGGATCAACAGATTTAAATGCCTCAAATACCTCATGCAGCAATGCATTCAGTTTCAGCCTTGCTGTTCTTCAGTTTATGATGCTGTATTGGCTTCAAGTCAACCAGTGCAGCTGATAAATCACAGGCTTAATATTCACACAGTCATAAATTATTATCATTGACTGACTCTGGCAATATAGTAACAGGTGCGTTTTTGGTGCCTTTAAGTCACTTATAGCTTTTCCTTTCATTTCCCTGCCCTCTGGTTCTTTCCTCCCTGTTTGCCTGTTTTGTAAAAAGACCACCAATAAGCTGAAGAAAGACCACCAGTAAGTAGGAGAGCTGCAATATAATTCTCAACATCTTAATTTGACAAGTCAGTCCATACTATAAGGTTGCTTTGCCTACAGAAAGATCAAAGTTGTAGCCACGACTGGAAGATGATGTTGGCTACAACTTTGGTGTGTTTCAGCAGTTGTGTGGATATGACAAAGGTTTCATGGTCAGGGCCTGGGCAGTGCAGTCACTTAGGGAGAATCTCCTATTGATAAGGCCTGGACTGTTCAAAGCAGAATGATTAAAACCTCCAAAATCTCCAGTTAAAGGAAGAAAAATGACTATAAGAACCCCATTTCTCATTATGGGTAATCTAACTTCACAAGCCAGTTCATCCTTTTAAGAGCCTGAACCTCAGTATAAAATTACAGCATGATTAGAAGTAAAGATTCACTTACTCTGTGCACAAAAAAGCTGAAATGAATACATGGAGATACTGTTCATTCAAGCTTCTGTCCAAAGTATTAATTCCTTCAGATAGGTTGACAGAATTTGTCATGACCTGCAAGCTTACAGCTCTTCAGGCCATGACTATGCATTGGTGTAGGATGGAGTCCTTAATGGGCACTGTGTGAGACAATGTGCTCTCCCAGCTTTCCAATTAGAATGTGAACTTGGGAACTAAAAATATATTATTTTAAAGGAAAACATTGCAAAAGAAAAAGAGATGTCCTTAAAGTACTGCAAGTAAATGGGTAAATGGATGCAAGCCGACATTAAGAAATGAAAGACATATATTCTTCTTGTGTAAATACACTATCAGTCTAGGACTTTAACTTGTTGGATGAAAAGACATTTGGATTGTACAGAAGGAAATATGTTAATCTGCTTCCCCCCAAGTTTCTGCAAAAAAGATGAGTTCTTTGTAGATAGGATTATTAAATGGGACCACTATTTTTCTAGTTGTGGTTCACAGAGTCCCCAGAACATTGTAAACTCATTATAAAAGATTCACAGAGCACACAAAAAGTGAGATCACTGTGTGTAGGGTTTAATGTTCTGTTCCAGAATCTGCAGTTCCACTGAAAGAGTTGAATGGAGCTCCAAATGGAAGGCCACTGCTTCCTTCAGTCTGATTGTTAAGGTTTACTCACACCTCTCTGTATAAGTGCCCCGAAAGGAAAGTAGGATCAAGGGGGCTACATATATCTGGGGTTTTTTTGCACCAGTGGAATTGATCAAAAAAGAAAATGGGAAGTTAAGATGGAAGGATAAAAGAAAAAATGAAATTATGTAGGACAAACACTGAATGGAGATGGTGTTGGGAAATGGGACGTACCAGGCATAAAGGGCTCCAGATCTGACACAAAGAAGCCTGGTGGGTTCTGCAGTGGAATGCAGACAGTGCATATGCAGAGTCAGGGTGGATTAAGACTGGGCAGACTGTTGAACCTCAACCTTTTAGTAAAGCGTTGCTACATGAACAGCAGTGGAAGGACAAAAAGGAAAACAGAAGAGAGAAAAAAATGTCTTATTCCAACTGATATACTCAATACTTCACTGAACTTCTTTTTCCAAATCAAAACCATCTTTTTCTTTAATTTTTGTTTCTTCTTTATTGAATCCTTCCCACCCCCCACGCCCCTCCCCACCGCTCTTTCAAGATAATAATCTCTACTCAATAAAAAAAGTAATTAAAAATCCTCCTAATTCCACTTCACAACTTTATGCTTCTGCTTCTCCACTTCTGCTGTGTACGTTCACCTCTTTCATATCTAGGTACTGGCTGAAAACATAGTGCTGCCTCCAAGCTGCACCTATGCTAACAGCCAGTATCCTCTGGCTGATCGACCAGTTCATAGGTCTAATAGTGTGGAAAGAAAGAAACCCAGACTAGTTGCTATCTTATACAGCCTTTTCAAAATCCTTTGGGATGAAAGCCCTGAGCAACCTAGTCTGGTTACAATGCTGACCTGCCTTGAGCAGAGGGTTGGACTACAGACCTCTGGAGGTCACTACCAATCTGACCTATCCTGTGGTTCTACGATTTGGTCTCTTAAGAAACCACAAGATGTGACCAATTGTCCACAGCAGCTGCAACACTACAATTTTTTAAAGCATGGAAGGAAGGAATGGATGACTGGAAAGGAAAAAAAATTCTAGCATAGTATGAGGTGAGGTCATTAATTAGAATGGTGATGGTTGTGAGAGAGCTACGCAATGTACACACAGTATATGCACAAGATAATGAGTTAAAGACGGAAAAAACATGAAGTCTACTTGATGTCCATTTAGGTTGCTTACAGACGATTTTATGTTATGAAGTTCAGGTTTTTCCTCTGAATAATTTATTAGATATTCTTCCCTTGGGTTTTCCTTTTGGTACTGATTTTCTCCAGGGAATTTCACCTTCTTCAAAGCTAACAATTTTTACGTCTCTTGCTCTCCCCTATTTAAAATGAAGTATTTTGGAAAAGAATGAGTGTTAAGGAGTTCCCACCAGGAATACTTTCTTTTTTTCTGACTTAATGCAGTTTCTTTTGTCCTGTATCCTCTATCATTATATGGTTCAGTGGTGCCACCATTTCCAGTCTGTCATCAGGGCCACATTCTGACCTCAGCATTATTGGTGTAAATCCAGAATAAATCCACCAGTCTCCATGGAGCTGCTCAGATTTACACAAGGAATCTGAGAGCAGAATCTGGCTGTAGGCATTTGTTCTGAACAGACAGAATAACCATCTTTTATTAATATTTCACAGCACTCTGCAATTGAAAACAGTTGTTGCCCTTTTTTTTTTTCCTTTTTTTTTCTTTTTGAAGGGGGGAGGTACTGTGGGGAGGTTATTGGCTGAATCCTGTTAGGGAAATCCTACAGACTATTTTTAGCAGTAAGCTCTACTGCTGCATTATGGTGTTGTACAAAGCACATGTGCTGTATGACCAGCAGCCACACATCTGAATTATTTGCACATCCTAAATCAATTTAGATGCTTGCAATAAATAAAAACATACATATCTGTCTTTTCTTAAGTCAATTAATCCTGCTAGAAATAAATTTTACACTCAGTGGTGTGAATATTTTAGCATTCAAAAGTTTGGAGCAGATGCTTCTGCCATGCAATACTGACCTAAGTCAATTAAAACAATTTTTGATTCAGACAAAATAATTCACATGCAATAAAATTACATTTTAAATTATACTCTTTTTTTATTATTTTTTTTCTTTTTAAAAATACTAATGTACTAAGAAAGGGATGTTCATAACTGTGTCAATCAGAATAGGCATCCTGAATACACAGTTTCAGCATTTCACCTTAAAACCGTTGTTTAGTTGCAACCCTGATATGGGCCATCAAAAAGTGTAATAATTCGATAAGATCTTGATTCTGTATAATGCTAGTATAGTAATATATAAATTTGATATTTTTATTAACTGCCAACTTAAAACTGTAGGGAGAATTGATACGTAGAATAAAACACTGATTGACAGAGTAGCAGGCAGGAGATACTTTCAAGTTTCAGCTAGTTTTCTTAACATTTAACAAGTATTTCCATTCAGATCCGTTGGATGTAACTGCCTACTCTGCCTAAGAGCTTCTGCAAGTCCTGAGCATGTACATTTAGCCTCTAAGCACCTTCTCTGTTAGGCAGGGGGATGGGAGGAAAAGTTTTCTTATCTAATGATATAATGACCACTGACTGTAGAAGTTAAAACTTCAGGTGCCAAGAAAAGAAAAGCAAGATAATGATTATAAGAGAGCATGCACGTATTTTTGTGCATATTTGCTCTTCCAAATAGCTTCGAAGACCTGATGATAGAGCTGCAAAGCAAGTAACTTCAGAGAAAGGAAATTAAGTGCTTTGACAATGCCAGAAGAGATTTTAAGCTGCTTTAGTTTATTAGCTCCAGATTTTCACTGGTTCTTTTTTTTTTTTTTTTTCTTTAAAATAAAACAAACCAAGAATATAAACACAGGAATTTATTGCTAATGAACTATTTTGTTTGTTAGAGTAAAAATTTAGCATAGACTTAGTCATGCTGCATAGGTTTTATGTTTGCATTCTCCTTATGCTAAACATAATTGTTTTATTATCATCTTGGCTTAAATAGCAAGATCCCAAAGGATCAGTTCTAAAGTGCATGAGCTAAGAGATATGGCAGCATAAATATTTCTAGAGCAGCCTAATTTCTGGCTGGCTTCTAACTGAATTATCTCAAATCCTTAATTTTGCATTACCCACAATGTATACAGATCTTATTCAGCAGAGTTTTTAAACAGTTTATTAAGGATTCAACATCCATTCAAGAACTTTGCTAAATAAAAGTGGTATTGAGCGTGTTGTTGAATCTAGACTTGGATTTTGTATTTTCTTCACTGGCTGACTTTTCAGCAGCAGGCTAACCCAATTTTCCCAGAACTGTGTTGGCATCCCCAGTAGTGGTGGCACATAAAAAAAATAGGTTTTTAATGCCAAGTTTTGCAGCTTGGAGAAACTGTTAATTTGAGTCCCTTTCAACTGTAAGGGGAAGCAAAATCCAAATGTTTCCCAAATGAAAACGGTTCATAGTGGTAAGGAAAATAGAAGAAATTTCTGAGGGAAATGCAACAAGTAAATGAATAAAAGACTTTTTTAGTATTTCAGACTTGGTTTGAAAGCCTTGAAAATGGATTTTAACTTGAACCTACTCCCTAAAATGTCTCTTTTGCTCCCAATGAACAGCTACAAAACAATTTGATATTGATAAGTGTTCCATATAAAGTTGTTCTGTTGTGGAATAACTGAGCATAGAAAATTTAAAAGGAAACTTGCATTGCAGTCTAACAACAGGATTTGGTCCTAATTGAATAGTGAGTGAAACTTTTGAATGAAAAAGGATTCTAGCTGCCACTGCTGCAAATCTATGAAACTTTCTTGTTAAATGCCTTGAGATCTGGAATTAATATAGTATTAATTAAGCAGGACAAATACAGAACATCGTTGCCATTTAAAAAGCTATTTTTAAAAGTTTTTCTGAATTATTTTACCTACTCTGCTATGAATATATAACCCTTTCTTGTTATATATAGGTTAACAGCCTTAAATTAGTTTACTTGCCAGAGAAAAGCAAGTGATTCACTAATACAACAGATTTTTTTTCTAGCCATAAAAGCTTTAACAGCACAACACCCAATTTCCTTTCTTCTTTACAATTAATTGTATTTATTATTATAATTCCTTGAAAATTGATTTTTGCCTTATCAATGTCAGAAGATGATTTCTTAGACAAAATTCAGACTTTCCCAGACGAAAGGGAAATTCAGATGCTGAATTTTCATCTTGCTGTTACTGTTAAATAAAATCCAGTTCTGATATTGTTTGCATGACAAAGAACAGTATAACTTGCATTTGTTTCTCATTGTGCTGTCTTTGTGCTGAAGGTGTCGTGTATGACAGTCTGATGCTGAAGCACCAGTGCATGTGTGGCAACTATGCTAATCACCCTGAACATGCTGGAAGGATCCAAAGCATCTGGTCAAGGCTGCAAGAAACAGGGTTGCTAAACAAGTGTGAGGTAAGAAAAAAATAGATACTTGATTTCTTAAAATAAATGGCAAATATATTAAACCCTAGATCTGTCTTCTGTAATAAGAGAGTAATTTGTCTTGTTGAACATAACTGACAATATTGAAATAATGCATTTTAGGAAAGCACATTTCCCAATGAGAAAGCAAAGATTTTACACAATGAAGGTCATTTATCCACATCCATAAGAACAGAAAATCCAGACATGACCATGCTCTTCACCTTGATAAAAGAAGGTAGACAAGCAATAGTCAAACAGCAAGTGCAGTCCTTTCAATGGCACAATTCCTAACTGTTTCAAGCAGCAAAGGATTTTACTTCTGTAGTAGCATAAAACAGTTTTTTTTTCAAATGTAGTTTCTGTCACTCCATAACCACATGGCATCTCGTATTACCTCAGACTCTAAAGTCTGATTTCATAGCATTTTCATTTGTTAAAACCCGAGACCTTCTAGACAGTATCAGAGCAAATGTGAAACTTTCTTCTGCTTTAACTTCCCTCACAGAATTGCATATTCAAAACATGCTTAAATCAAATATGGGCTCTGTGGTTCATATATGACTCGGGTTACTGAATAACAGCCTTTTCCTACCATTTACTGCTTCCTATGAGTTGTGCAGCACTGTCAACTTCCGCCGAAGCCTTGGCAATTGAGGGTACTTACTGCATTGCACCACAAGTTTAAAATGTTCAACACAAATTTGCTTATGTTTTGCAGAATCCCAAAATTGTCAGGAATCTTATGCTCTGTTTTCTTTAATTACTTTTTCTTATATACTTAGGTTTTTACAAACCCAAAAACCTGGTAAAATAGGTCCCTTTGATTAGCTATTAGTGACTGTCCACAAAGATTTTCTACAGGTAGCCTAGTGTACTGAACAGTGAGTTATTTTAAGCACCATAAATGGATTTGCTGTATACACTCATCTAACTAGATGGCAGCACTTTAACAGGCTATTTCTTTTTTTTTTTTTTTTTACCTTGGATAATTTTTCTATCTTAAAGAAGAGTTTCCTTCAGGAAGGCCCTTTAGGCCATGTATCACAATGAGTGGTTTCACTGGTGGGATCACATATGTCAGGAGTAAGTTAAGCACACAGCCCAGGGCTAGTTACCTTCTTGGCTCAGGACCCTTATTATAAAGAAAAGACAAAAAAGAGAGAAAATAGTAACGTGCTGCTAGTATGTATTGCTTTCTTCAGTAATAAACAGACATCACTGAATGGCAATTTGTGTAGATTGGCAAGAGGAGTAATAGGAAAAGTGGTATAGATTAGTCTGAGGTGCATGCAGTCCAATAGTTTCCTGGAAGATTTGAAGTTTCCCTTATAATTATTCAATTTCAAAACCTGAAATATAGCCTATTAGGTCTTGCAAAATCCAGTGAGGTGGCAGAGAGGAAAGAAGTCACTTAATGTCAAATGGCATTCAGTTAATTTTGACCCTCCTTGTGTGCTTTGAAATGAGGCTGGAATGTGAAATGAGCTGTCAAAACATAAACTCTGATAATAAAACTTTGAGGGCCCTCAGCGTGAAGCTGGTGCATAGTTCTGGTGTTCATCTTGATCTTCTTATGTGAAATAAAACAGGATTATATTTGATGATGCAATCTGTCCTTCGCTTCATTGAATTTTCTAGCGCTTGCTTGAATCTGCTCACTTTTCAAATTAAGGAAGGCTGCAGGGATTCACTTAATTGGTGTTCTGATTCTTTAGAAAAGTTATTCAGCTGAATAAATGACTTGTTGTCACTAAAGGAGCAATTATTGCATTATTCAAGAAATAATAGGCCACCATTAAGTTGCATTCTGGAATATACCACACTGAGGATGCAGAATCAAAGCCTCATGGGCAACTGCACTATCTCATTTACTGACCTCTGAATGCCCCCTCATGGACATTAGTATTTCTGAATATAATTTCTTAATATAATTTCTCATGTTTTTTGTCAGAAGAAGTGGGGAGATTGTTGCTCTGGTTTTGCCACGTGCACTGTCTCATGCATCAAGTCTGAAGGACAGCTTAGGACCAGTAACCTGGAACAGCTGCTTAGGAAATCCTCTGCAGTAACTGTGAACTTTCTTTTTTTTTCTCTTTTACTAAAAAAATAGTCCCACAAGAGGGCTGCAGTCCAAATCATTGTCTGATGAGGAGTTTCAGGATCAAAGGTAGTTCAGTCAGAGGTTGCTCAGATCTTGTTACCTTGCAATGTGTGTATCTTTAGTCACAGGCTTGTGCCAAGGAGCCCTCCCTATTTTCTTAATCTAACAATAAATCCTTAAGAAAATGAATACTCTATATATAGACAATCTTTGTTATCTACAGTAGGGAGGAACATGTGTTTCTTCAATCACATGGTGTGAATTAACTCATCTCACTCAGCTCAGGTCTATCACCCTGGAGTGATGACTGGCCAAGTGCACAGAGAACTGTCATCTCTAACTGAGCATGGGATGATAGAAGCTATATATACTGGGCTGACATCATGTTTGCTGCAGTCAATAGATTAATCTCAGTAGGTTAATCTAAACTTAATCTATTACTTAATGTTTCTCATATTGTCCCCCTATGTAGCATTTAAAAATTACAGCTTTTCAAAATCATAGCAATGTTGGACTGGGATATTCAGAGCTGTGTCTTCACTACAAAATAGAATAGGCCAGGGACTTCCTCTACTACTGAGGCCAACTGGCATAGAAAGTCTCATTTTCATACTACTAGGAATGCTCCCTGGCCCATGCCAGTGACGAAACCATTTCTGGGAGTTGACTGGGAGAGTGCTAGCTGCTGATCAGCCAAAACAGTGTGAAGGACTACATTAGCAATTTAACAATACAGATTATTTTGTTCCTCTGCCTGATTCCTGGCCCTGCTTAGTTTACTGCTGCAGACAGCCAAAAGGTCTTAGAATTATAGAGTCATATAATCATTTAGGTTGGAAATTACCTTTAAGATCATTGAGTCCAACTCATAACCTAGCACTGACAAGTCCACCACTAAACCATGACCCTGTGTCGCCACTAAGCATCATGTCTACATGCCTTTTAAATCCCTTCAGGGATGGTGACTCAACCATTTCCCTGGGCAGCCTCTTCCAGTGCCTGACAACCCTTTTCGTGAAGAAATTTTTCCTAATATCCAATCTAAACCTCCCCTGGTGTAACCTGAGGTCGTTTCCCCTTGTCCTCTGGCATTACCTGGGAGACTGACACCCAAAGACTTGCTTCTCCACATTGTGTTTTGTCTTTCTAGCCATAGATATTTGAGCTCTAGAGTTGTTCAAACAACAGTCCAGGGGACTTTTTTGCTAAATTGGGAAAACAGTTATAGCTTACAGAATTTTTTAATATCATATCACTCTTGTAATTTTTTTAATCATATCACTCTTCCAAATAGACAGACTACTTCTCCCATCAGCTTCCCCAAGGCAAAGGAGGAACATATTCAGACCACGGCCAGCCCTGGAGAGCCGGATTTGAGAGACCAGTCTCTGATTGAGTCAAGGGCAAGACAGTGGAGTGGTTTCCCCCCGTACTGGACTTTTTTATAGTCCTGGTATATATGTATTGTAAAAAATAAAATTGAGAAACAGTATTTTTGCATTAGTTTGAAAGTTTTGTGTATGTTTACTGAATTACCCATTCTGTGTTCATTAAAGACTGACAGTTGTAGAACAGCCAGTCATTAAATGTAGCACCAAAACAAGGCAGCTAAAAGATACAGAGATTGGCATAAAACAAATTTATTATTTCTTTTCCCCCTTTTTTCTATTTTATCTCTGTAAAAAGCAACACATAGCTGCCCTACCTTCTGAACAAAAAAAAAAAAAAAAAAAAAAAAAAAAAGGACTGAAGTATGTTTTGATAGTGGTGCCTGCTTCCTACTTCTTCTAGGTAGAGGAAGTCTTTACATAACTCCCTTTGGGGCCATAATTTATGCACATGACTGAAATTAGGTTACACTGATCAACACAGTTTTAGAAAAGAAAAGAAGAATATAGACACAGTCCCACTTTGTGCCTTCACCTATACTTTCTGTAGCGACTGTGGACCACAACATTTTTCCTTTCAGCCTGGAATTTGTTCTGAATTTTGATAGTTTTTTGGATTAGGGAGACATCTTTCACCTCCTGCTGTCCACATCTCATGGACTGAAGGGGAGAGAACGAAAGAATATACATTTGAAAACCTTTGAGTCTGCCAGATCACATTCATTAAAATGTTAAAAAGTCCATTGTCTGAACCTCTCTTAACCATTAAAGAAAATATAATACACTTAGTCTTTAAGAGCAAAAATCTTTTAATGTTGAACATATTTAGGTTAGGCACTGGACAACCAAAACACATAAAGACAGTAAATGCATCTCTACGTGGGTGCAAGCATGTCAGAGATATGCTTGCAATTCCCACGTAATGGAGACAGATCTGGATGAAATGGCTGGAAAAAGATCCATGTTATCTCTATGTATTTTTAAAAATGAGAGAATTTAACAATTATGAGAAATACCAGAAAAATAGGAAAAACTCCAAAGACCTTGTTTACAAACTAGATTGCCTAAGGGAGTTTCAAAGACACTATCTCCATACAAATTGCTGCAGTAAAGGGAAGGGACACTGAGAGACTGGAATGAGAACTATCCCTTAAACTATGTAAAAAATTTCTAGCAGTGAGAAACAGGCAGTGTCACCTTTGTATTTTTGAATTCTGACTTTGCAAGACTTTAGTCTGCTGAAGACTACCCAAAATCCTCATGTTAGTAGAGGGTATCTGTGTGAAACTTCAATGGTCTGTTTTAAATAGAAGACCAGACTAGACAGTCCTCTTTGAACTTAAATTCTGTGAAAAGTGAAATAATTTTCCTGTTGTGGGGAGAACAAATTCCTAGTTCTAGACTAATTTTTTAAGCACTCGGGTGCAACATTTAGCTCTCCTGAGATGTATTAACTGCCTCTGTTGAAGAGGGAGGAAGTCAACACACAACTTGTCATGAACATTAGAAAAGGATGACTTCCCCTTCTACTAGGGATGAAGTAGATGGATGTAGTATTCAATGAAATACTTTCATTAGTTTTCCTACGCTGTTTTGTCTTTTTCATTGGCTTTATGTTAATTTTTTGTTTTCTACTACATTTTAGGCTTTTGATACTATTATGGTCCATGAAAATTAATAAAGATACTTTAAAATAAAAAAATGTCCACAAAAGTGTATGTGTAAAGTGACACAAATGAGTATGTTATGTTGTCTGATACCTCATGCCAGCGAGAGCCAGAAATGTTGGATAACCCAAAACAATAATTTTGCATAACTGGTTACACATTTTCAGATTCTGGAAACAGACTTATGACACATGATTTTTTAGATTTGCTAGATCCTGACATCACTACGTCAGAAGAACTATTCTTAGCAATTATTACAGGTAATTTTTAATATAAAATATTTTTTTCCTCTTTGCAGAGCCTTAGATAGTTGGATTTTTTATGTTATTGAAATTGGCTTGACAGGCAGAGGTACTGCAAAGGTGGAATGACACAAACAGTAAACGAGCAGATGGAAATGCAGAAACAGCACATGTGTGCACTGCTTTACCATTCCCTTTCCTAATGTCATTTAAATGTTTGCCTACACTCAAGGTTAGAGCTGGAGAAGCCATGGAGAAAATGGCTCTGGGCTGAGCTTCCCCTGGCATCTTGGCTCTTGGCTGCACTCCAAGGGCCTCACTGCTGGGAACAACCCTTGGAGTGGGACATCCTGTTCTCTGCTACTTGATTTCTGCACAAAACCTATTGCTGTACAACCTATTTCTGCCCCAGAGAATAAGGCTGGCAGTATTGGGTAGCTTCATAGCAAAATCTTTTAAGGAGGCCAATTCCAGACGGTACCCTGTTAGACCACATCACTATATTCCATAGGATATCACAGAGCTCCTTGTTACAAGAATAATGCCTAGCTGTGGGTCTTTTTATAGCTTAAGGGATATGACATTTAACAGCACTCCAAAAAAGAAGTAGGCAATTAACTCTCTTAAACATCTCTCACAGAGTTTTTGTATAACTCGTAGAAAATATAAGACCAGAGAGTGAGTATTTTACTCAAGGCTCTTTGATGTGACCTTCATAAAATACCTCTTTACTTTTCTTATACACTTGCCAGCCACCCTTTCCAGTTTTGCTGTGGGGAATTGGGTATATAGACTTTAAAGCAACTTATTAGAAACATGGACCTTAATGAGAATGGATGAATGAATAAATGTTACCACTCACCTCACTTGTGAAGAAAACAATTTTATCTGACCCAGAAGAACCATTACAGAGTTTACTGACTCCATGAATAACATAATGTGCTGATTTTGATTGTGCAACTGTGTGTTAAAAGGATGTGAGTGCACTGCTACAAATTCTCATGTGAGACTGGGAGAGGCTTGAAGAAATTAGAGATGAAAAAGGGTTTATTAAGTCATTTAGTTCTTGGATCATTCCCTAAAATGTTTTTCCACTGCTGTGTAGTCAAGTTTTAAACACTGCAAGAAACAGGGCTTCCACCATTTCCCTGAGGGGGAGCTTGTTCCACAGTCATCTAGGTCTAACTCTTAGGACATTTTCAGACTAGTCAGAAAAAAATCGTCACTGATTAACTCAATATACTGCTCCTAGGTAGCTCCTTTCTTCCCCAGTGCACATTCTCTTTAATATTTATAATATTGTTTTCTTCTCCTAGTGAACAGGTTGGTGCTTTCTGATATCTATGAGTAGGTGATAAACAGAATTACAACTTAACCTTTAAGAAAACTAGAATTGAGTAGCATTTCTGTAAAAGGTTAATCAGTCTATTAAAAATAGCATGGTCTGTTTAAATTATTTTTTATCTGTTTTTCTGTAGACCTTGACAGTCAGATAGATCCACAGTCTAAGTTTCAGGAGGTGTTGAGAAGGACCAGCTTTGCAAATAGAGCCCAGGATCTTAAAATAGGCTGTTTTCTCTCCACATTATCCAGAATTATCAGGAAAGATGATCTTGGGACCAGAACTTTGTTGACAGAGCTGTTTATTATGACCAAACCTGAACCAAATCTGCTTTGTGCTGCTGTGCCTGCAATGGCTGTGCAGCACTGGCACAAGCAGAGAAATAAATACTTCTATGACAAGCTGTAACTCAAAATACATACAAGAAACAGATCTGATGAATAAGAAAATGTTAGCTTTATCTTTTCTTCCTTCTTTCCTATCTTCCTTCCTTCCTAAATTGATTACATTTCAATCCAGATTTTTTAACATTTATTCAAGTGGAGAAACAGTTAAGGAGGCAAACTCCACTTAAAAAATGTAAGGAAGCAAATGAGTCAGCATGTGTAACAGCAGAAATAATCCTGGGATATCAAACATATATTAGAAATATTAAAAGACAGCTATGTATTCTTTTAAAGTATTTAAAATTTAATTTTCTTCTTCCTGGCTCTCCTCACTGTGATCTTGTTCTTCCTAGCAGCATAAATCACAAGTACTAGTAATGGTGTGAAAAACATTAATCCTCATTCAGAACACAGTTTACAGGTGTGAATAAGCTTTTGCTCTTCAAACTAGAATCTGGCTTTTCTAGCCAGATTTCTTACTTTAGAAATATTTGACATTTGGGTTTTTATGTCCTAATACAATGTAGGAGGGAGGTAGAATTTTTCTTTTTTCTTGTATGTGAAACTGTGTATTAAGTTAACTCTGCTAAGACTTAAGTGAAGCATTTGTGATAAACCACACACGCATTTGTTTTTCATAGAGCGTTACTTTAATAAACAAATCAGTGTCACATTCCTGCATGACGCAATTTCAACCCATTATTAATCATACTAAATGTTATTTCGGACCTTTACTTTTTTTTTTCTTTTCTCCCTAAATATTGTCAGTGGAATATTGTAGGCCTCTGCTGTTTTCTTTCAGCGAATTCGAGGTCGAAAAGCCAGTCTGGAGGAAATACAGCTGGTTCACTCTGAACATCATTCACTGCTGTATGGCACCAGCCCCCTGAACAGACAGAAGCTGGACCCCAGGAAACTCCTAGGTCTGTACAGGCCTCTATTCTACTGAGAACAGCACATTCCAGCACTGTCATTAGTCATAGCTGGTGTCAGTTTAAAATACTTGGCAAGCAGTGTGACAAAAATCCACTTTTTCCAAAAGCATTGCTATGTGGAAGGAGAATGTTACAATGGAAGACAAATATAGATGAGCAAAATGCACAGGCTGGAAAGCAGCGATAGAACTTTCTCCTCGTTCACTTAAAAAAAATCACTGAAGTGTTAACCCTTTACTGTAATTTATTCTGCATTGGAGGAAAATGGCAATTTTGAACACGCTTGATCTTTGACCTCCTTGTATTCTTTGATTTGAAAATGGGAGCTTAAGATACACTTGCTTGTCAGAATTGCTTGTTTGCTGTTCTTATTTGCTTTATTTCAATTATTTCAGCCACACTGAGTACAGGTACCATGCCTAAATCTTGCTAATAAATGAACTTCATTGTAATGGCTTCCCATTCTTCAGGGTATGATATCTTTCTGAGTAACAGGGGGGAAGCCACATTAAAATATTGAACAGACCTACGGATGTGCAGAATAGCAGAAATCTGACAGGATTTTCACGTCAAATATTCTCATGAGCAGTCAATGTTCAGAGTGTCCTTTTTATAATAGAAAAGTAGTGTTAAATTAAGTTCTGCCATGAATACAACATGAAGCAGATCCACTTGTCAGACCTGCTACAGAGAATGTGGAAGAAAACACACAAAAAAGTAGTGCATTTTGGAAATAATCTGTAAGTGAAATCCCTTCCTTTATATTCCAGTACACTGGATGCAACACACTAATTCTCAGCTATTTTTATACTTATTCTAAGATGTGGAGCTTTTCCTAAATTTAATGAAACATAACCCAAACAAAAGCAATAGTAGCCATCAAAAGAAATTTCTGTCACTGTTTTAATAACATATGGCAATTATTTTGCTTTGGAATCCAACACTTGAAGTTTCTTCTGTAAGGCAGACCAGCTTCAGTGAGTCAGAAGAGCAGATAAGAAAAATGTCTTGATCACAGTGTTATCTAAGTTTATACATCTTCTTTGCCAAGGCAACATCAAACCAGACGCACTTACAATATTCTAGATTCTCAGGAGCATGATTTTCCAAGGTTAGAAGTTCCCACTTTTTTATTTTATTTTTTAAGTGTTTCCACACACACAAAAAAGCTCTAAATTCCTGCAAAAATAAAATTTGGAAACATTTTTATTTTAGTTCACCAACATTGTAAAATGTTCCATTTTGACAGAATTGAACTTTCATATCAAATTTGTTGGGTTTTATGAATTTTATTTTAGTTTTCACATTCTTTAATATACATTGATATGAAATATTGTTCCCATTTTGGATCTCAGTGGTTGACCACAATACAGGATGCAGTGTGTAGTTGCAGCTACGACGTAAAAAAAGAATGGACCTAGGTATCATTTCTGTATTTCTCCTTTTAGAGAGAGAACACATAAAGTTTTGTTTACCCAATCTCAGAAAAGTATTTCTTTGCCTGCAGTTCTTTACACAGAACTCTGCCTTTTTTATTTGACACTTAGTCCAAAACATTTACTCTCTGAGTTTATATCAAGATCACACTCCTAGCATATATTCTGAGTGTATCTTTGCCTTAATGCCTTTTTCTGTCTCTGTTTCTAGGATGTTTTCTTGCTGCATTTCACATGGCCTTTTAACCAGACAATAGTCAATGAAACACCCTTTCCAGATGATTTTTCATGTGCCTGTTTCTAGACTGGAAGCTCAAATCATTCCGGGTTCCAGACTCTTCTATAAAGGGATTTAATTATCTCTTACGTTTTTCAAAAACGTTCCACCTTTCATTGTCTGCATTTCAGTGAGATTGAACCTAACCAATCCTAACATTAAAAATAACATCTTTTTATAGTATAGAAATTCAAAATTACATTAAGCAATGGAGAAAAATCTAAATGATGTTTCCCATACAAATTTCATCAATAACAACATTGTTTCATAAAGCATCTATATTTCAATGAAAGTGCTTCTTTTTCTATGTACATTTTCCCATCAAATTATGACTTTGCATCCTAATAAAAAGGAGGATCTAACCAGTCCTTTCCTTACTCCTCTATCCACCTAAAAAGACAGGGGCACCATTTGTTCTCCACTTGTGCTCTACAAGTGTCTCTTCCTTGTCCCTCTTCAGAAGACGACACCTGCTTTGTCTGAAGCTCTTTTTCTTTTTTTGCTAACAAGCATCTTCTGTATCTTTCAAACAGAAAAGAAACACTTGAAGGAATGAAGTTTAAGTACAACTAGGAGTATAAATGTGTTACTTGTCAATAAATGCTTATTTCAGTGCTCCTTTTCAGGAAGACCACAAGGCAAAATGGCTGAAAACAACTTAAATCAGTGTGAATTATACATACAGCTCTCATTCACATGTTCTTAATATTTTCAGAGTATAAAGTGGCTTGAACGCTTGGTGTTGTTTTCCTTGCATCACGGCCTACAGGTGCAGCTATTGCAAATGATCGATGTGATCACTTCAGTTTCTACACTAGTGTGAAGTTTAGGCTTTTGACTGATCACGTTTCAGTGTGGCATGTTGAGCAACATGTTATGTTGCATTACAGTGTCGTGACATGAAAGAAACTAAGATGCAGACTGTGTCACATCACGTTATGGTTTCACCTGACAGAATACAACCTTTCATGCCTCTTTGAAAAAGCTCAAGGGCAGAGCAATTCTCAAACAGATCTTACAAATATGTTTGTTTTTTCCCCTCATAACTAAGAAAGTGTTTCTAAAAAGCAAGTTTCCAGTGGTTACAACTTTTTCAAACTGAGAAATATACCGTTATGACACCCCTGAGAGTGGGGCAGTATTTAGGGTACAACTAAAAGGTGCAACTGCAATTTCAAATTAGTGAAAAAATTATCACTAAACAGAATTGGCTTAATTCTGGAGGGCTGATCCTGAAAAAAATAATATTCCTCAAACTGTGCCTTTTCACAAGAGAACATACTTTATAGTTTATTTTTGTCTTTGAAAGACTTTCTGCCCATCACTTTTCCTCATCAGACTCTTAGACCCCAATTGTCAATCTCCGAAGCAACTTCCTTGACTTTTGTATGGGCCCTGACCTCAGTTACTGATGGATGACTCAGCATCTTATTTGGCTACCTATGGCCTCTGTGGATTGAAAATTTAGAATAAAAATCTTGGATATTGTTTTGTAGCTCTATCAGTAAATACCTGTGCTGTATCTTCTCTAGAAGATCTTTTTTCACAAGCAATTTGCTGTTGACTGCAAACTCTGTCAAAGAGTATATGATTAGTTACAATTTTTCTTCTGTCTTACTTGAAGTATCTCATTATCTTTTCAGTTATTATCCTGGATGTATCTTTGGTTGTGGAAGGGTGTTATTGAAAAATAACTTCTGCCTAGCAAGTTCTGCTGGGGCATGAACTCCAAACTTCATGGGAAATTCTCACCTCAATTCTTTTCAGGGTTTACTTTTTGCTACTGATTCATTTATGATGTAGAGTTTTCTGAGCTCTTTTCATTTTGTAAGGCTAGCTAAGTGATGGTCCCTCTCTTTGTAAGCAGATTTTTTCCCCACTGTTCTTTTAATGAAATCTCAATGCCTTTCTTGTTCTGCAAAATCTGTTATCTGGTTCTTTGTTGGTTTTTTTTTTTGTTGTTGTTTTTTGTTTTTTAATATAATTTGATAAAAAGTGAATATCCTGGCAAGTTTCTTGTTATATTGAAGTGGATTCATGCTTGTTTCTCCCAGTTTTAGTGCTATCTGTTGATTGATTTTAGTGTCCTTCTTCACCATCTGCTTTTCTGTTTTTACTTTATGTTTGTTGTTTTTAATAGTGTTTACCATGCACAATGTGCCTGGCTGTAGGTAGATAAATGAGAATTAATCTGTTCTCTCTTATATCCCACTCTGAAACAGAATTTAAGAAAAAAGGTCTAGTCATTCAATATTCTAAAAATGCCTTCTTTTATCTCAAATTACAAGTTATGTTTCCATTAATGCCTGCTGGCACTTTACCAGCACTAATTTTTTTTACTTATCTGTCCAAGATTTTTTGGTCTTCCCCACAGTAAAAATTGAAAAATTGCTGTTCACATTGGTCCTTGGATCTGCCTTACCAAGAGATTTGCCAGCTCCCTCTGTATCTCCACTCTAAAAAGCTCCTGCAGTCAACATTTCCTTGCATGTCTGGGACCATTAGGACTCACAGTATGAAATACTCTGCATAGCTGCTGCACCTGCATTTCCCCTGGTAGCTCCACAGGAGGTTTTGTTTGGCTTCTCTCGCGCACTGTGCAAACTGATCAAAGGCCTCTAGTCAGTTCAAAATGTATCTTGGGTTTTATTCGAAGTGTAAAGCACTTTCTTCTTCACAGACCTTTTAGTCTGGTCTCTTGTACTTCAAAGATGATGGCTTATAATTGTCTTTATGCATTTCATTGGCACCTGCTAAACATGAGTAACTGCAGCATTGGCCCCTTCCATAACAATGGGTGGCTCCTCTAGGTAACTCGAGTGATTCACTATCTAACGTTTCCTCCAGATGGCAAAGTTACAAAGCCAGTTCTGTGATATGGCAGGGGAAAAGCTTATGTTCTCCTTCCACAGCTGCCTTAGGATCAGATTTCATACTGGGACAGGAACTGCATCAAATCCTGAGATCCTTACCCGGTTTTCATATTGTCCTTATCAAGACAAACGTGAGTTTAGTGGTACAAAACAAGAAAACATGAATGATTTAAAAGTGAGTATAAATATTAAGATAAAGTTTATAACAGTATCTAATGTATAGAGCAGATCAAGCTAGAAATCAGATTCTAAAGCCTATTAGGTTTTTGTTCCCTTTAGTAGAATGTATTTACAGAGTAATACTGAAACAAGTAATGTTTCATTTTATGTTTTAAAAGTATTAGCGTATTCATTGATAGTATGTAAATGAAGGTAGCGGCATTTTTGCACAGATAGGAAGACTAAGACTGTGATTTTCAAAGGAGATACTCTTTTGAGAGATCAAGTTAAGAAATTAGTCATCAGTTTCACGTAAGCTTAACGAGGTTTCCTCTGTTGTCAGTGAAAAAAACCAGGCACTTCTCAAGTATAATTCATCCCATCAGTCATCTAGGCTGGGCCAAGGTGCCTATCTCACTCCACTGGCTGTAGAAGCTGCTGAGATGACTGCTTATCAGTTACAGATATCGGGATGACTAGCTGCCCTTGTTCAGAGTGACTTTCTGTGGAGATTCGATCGTTACACTCCTTTGAAACTGCTGCTTACCAGTCTTAAGTTTCGTCACTATTACAAAAGACTATCTTAAATGCTCTGTGGCTGATACGCTTTCTAAGTGCTGCTAATATTTTTAATTTTCATATGTGGCATTTTCATTATGTGATACTGAAATGTGAATTACTGTAAAGAATGATTACTGTTCCAGTATTTAAATGTATTTTTGATAAATGATGCTAATTGTTTGTTTGTTGTTTTGTTTTTTTTAATATATAGGAAACGTGTCTCAAAAACTCTTTTCCTTGTTGCCTTGTGGGGGACTTGGGGTAAGTAGAAGTTTGGTTTTATTGCAAGAGGGACAGCACGCAACACATGTATTCATTCATGAACTCTTGAGCACTGTTGCATTATCAGTTCAAAGTCTTCAGAAGCTGATAAAAAATGTATAGATGAAACCCAAGCCATTTTCATTCTGTGTTTTCAAAGACACGGAAGACAGTACACTGCAATACGCATATGGAACACTTAGATTAGAATACCTTTTGTGATAATGTGTACATTTCTTAGTTGTCCCACTTTGTGTTTTTTTACATGAGCTCTATTTATGAGGAAAGCAGCACAGGTGCAATTGTTATAACAGAATTAGCTTTGGAGAAGCTGCTTTGTGTACTGTTGAAAAATAAATATAGCTAGCTTCCTATTTCTCTAAAGGACAAAAAAGTTACCAAAGCTAACATTCAGCATGACAAATGCTCAATAACTTCTAGATAATAACTTGGGTGTTGTTAAACTAATAAATTACTTGAGCATTTTAATATCCTGTTTAGAAATAGATTCATTCTGAAATACATGCTTGTGAGCATTAGGACACAGTAGACAAAAATCTGCTGACAAAAAACTGTTGCAACACTAGCTAAAAGAATTAATCTAAATTATTGAACAACATGTAGAAAGGAGAGTTTCCACTGATGTTGGTATCATGCTCCTATTAAATTCTATTGAGGATAATACCAGGAAGAAATAATTTTTCACACACTGAGGTTTTTCATGCAAAAGTATTCTACACTTTTCATCCAGCTGGGTACATTATTTCCTGATGTCAGCACTATCAAAGTAATATTGTTATACTGATGGGCTGGCTGGCTGAAGCATATATATTTTAGTTCCCATTCACTGTTTCTGAGTATGAAAGAATAAAGCCACAATCTCTGGCGGTCAACTTCCAATGCCACCATCTAAAGTTTTTTTTTTCTATCATACTAGTCTTGTTTATAGTGAGACTTTTTATTATAGGATACCTAACTGAAGAAATACTAATTTTCTTAGGATTTAACACATAAAAAAGAAAAATTCCATTTCTGATTTCAGTATTCAGTAATTTTTAAAGATTTCTGAACTGTGAGTTAAGGAACAAAGATTCAGGAAGTGGTAATCATTTCAGCTCCTCTACTGTGGACTTAGATTGCTAAGGATTCTTGCTAAAATTTGGAGCTTGGTGACTGGCAACTTGTTGATTTTGAAAGCTGGGGGTCATTTCTGTATGTGGATCAGCTAAAATTACAAATTAAGAGGTAGACATGTATGTCCACGTGCACTTTTGTGCACTACTTTGTGCACATATGCACACCCACAAGCATATATGCACACATTGCTGCATTCAAAAATGCTATTTTGTCACCCTGTTGTTGCAGTTATTAAGAAGTTTAGAGGAAATTGAACAAGAGATCAATAAAGTTGAGAAAGGATGTTGTTCAGATTTCTGGGTAAAGATAAGTTGATTTAAAATTTCTTGACAAATCTTTCTGGGAGCTTTGGAAAGTAAATAGGACTGTGGTATGCTTGTAAAATTAAAGCATAATATTTTCCTATGAAATGTTATTGTGATTTAAAAAAAAATAATGAATAGACGTGTTTTGAAATCCTCCTAGTAATGAAAATATGTTGTCCATTCTAAAGTTAACAGAGTTCAGAAATGCTCAGCATAAATACATTTTTAAGCACTTAGAATTACCTACAATTTTTTTAGTCTGTTTGCTTCATTTCTTATTTAAAATAGTGGAAACCGGACTTTAAAGAACATGTTATAGAAACGGATCTTTTATTTATTTTTTTTTCTAGTTGGTTTGCCTTTCTACATATTATTATTGTCAGGCTTGCTGTGGGGCTCTTTTAAAGGAATAGGTTATGACCTTTTTTCAAGGTAAATAATCAGATTAGGAGCTGTGATATTTAGCTGTCTATTGGTTAAGATGAGCTCTGGGAAAGGGAGCTGCTTCAAACTGTGTAGAAAGCAATTCTTAAGTTTGCTTTCAAAAATTCTGGTGGAAAGAAAGAAGCCTCATTGCTACTTAGAAGCTATCAACTTAATTGAGTGTCATAAAGCAGCAATCAATGTAAAACAGTAAGAGTGGTTCATACAAAGATTTAAGGAGGAAGGGAACAATTATTTTTTTTTTTCCAATTTTTGTTCTCATTTATTTTCTTTCTTGATTGATTGATTACTTGTTTACCAAATAATACAGTGAGAAAGTATTAAGGAAAAGAAACACAAAACTGTTCCATTTTGCAGGAGACTTTATGGCTGCCTCTTGAATGATAGTTTTCAGAGCTCTTTTGATCCTATTGTCTTCTAACCATATGGGGACCTTTCTGACTGTTATTATGCAGCTCTTCCATTATTAAATAGATTAGTGGTTAGACTACTCTCACAGGGGATGGGAAATCTAGGCTCATTTCTCTCCACTACCAGGCTGGATTTAATATCAGAGCCTCCACCTCTTAGCGGATGTTGTTACCACTGAGGAGATCATAGATTGTTTCTGGTTGGGGACCCTCACACAATGCACTGATGCTGTGCCACTATTGGAAACAGCACTGGATCAGTAAGACAGAGCATAAGTAGGATAAAGCCCATGTATCTAAGTCTGTGATCTACCAATTTAACACTTATAAATAATTTGAGTCCCTGCCCCACAAACAGCTTATTTATTTCACTTGAAAGAATCACTGGAAAAATTGGAAACTGCACTTGGAGCAAGGACTGGAACCTAGGACTTCACAGGCATTAAAAACATATCTGCTGATGGACTCTAAGGACTGTATTGGCACAGGCTTGGGATGGCTTTCATTGTTCACAAAGGTCTGATGAACCCCTATGACCCTGAATTCTGCAATATTATTGATTTATGTTATTATTTCTGTTCTCAATAAACTGCAGCCAAGATCAGAAATCCGCTTCTTTGGACATTACGTACAGTTGCAGTCAAATAAAGTTTTTTCCAGAATTTCAAGAGGCAGTGTTCATAACTGATATTTTCTGATCCTGTTCCATCATGGCCCTAAATCTTTTGTATTAGTGGAAAACACACGTAAAGCTGCTGTTTGCTGATTTTGTAAATATTTTTCATTCATATGAATTTACTTTCAAGTAGTGATAAGGACAGCTTATGTCAGGATCACCAGCAAATCTGACTTGGTATCTGTTAGGTTTTCAGAAGAAAGCAAGCAACACTTTTTACTGTTTTATAAGAAACTGTGTAATAATTAGCTCTCTTATCTACGACTAGAAAGCTGTTTCATACTGACAGCCAAACTGAACAGGTCTGAGACAGAGAAGAAAAAAAAGTCGTTTAAATCTGACTACCTAAATTTGCCTGTAGGACGTTTTCTTTCAAGGATGGTCAATTTTTTATCAGAGGACTATTGAGGGTCAGCAGAATAACATCCACTGAAGTATGGGAGAATGCAAGAATGCTTTTTTATTCTTTTTTTGAGCTTAACACTGTTCCAGAACTGAATGTTGCTAAGGAATTCTAATACCGGGGGGATGAAATTCTTTGTGTTGGAGGGAAACTAGCAGCTCTACAGCCAGCAGTTTTAATAACAAGAGATGGTTTCTTGCAGCTGGTCAGAGGTTTGGAATGTGAAGAGTCTTCCAGGAGAGGTGGGTAGATTGCAGGTGAAGTGGCCAAATGGGAAGAATAATCACAAATTAGATTTTGGTTCTGTGGATTATTTGACCATTCCACAATTTTTCATCTGTAAACAGCCACTAGAGCTACAACTGAACATTTGTTCAATGCATCCATCTATTCCAATTCTTCCCCTTCTGTTGTGCTGTGAAAACGACAATAAGAGAAGCAGAAATCTACTTTTAATGGGAGTTAGTTTCATCCCCCTGCCTCAGTCTGTCACTAAAAATAGTGATTGTTTTCCTGCCTGTTTGACCTGCTGCTGTGTGAAGAAATCTTGAAGTCATTTCTCAGCCATATTTTTTTGTCTAGTTGATAGGCAAAAAAACCCACAAAAGCAAAGAAGAGCAGGCTTTTATGATAATGTCATCATCGGCTCTCAGCTTCAAACACTTCTGTGGCTTTTGAATTGTCATTTATAACTTGGAACTGAACCGACCCATAATTCCCTTGATGCATTTAGAGAAATTGATAACAGACTGCTTCTTTTATGGCTCAGAGGAGGCAACTCCAATCACATCACTATTGGCAGTCAATATTATTTTCTGACATGGTTATAAAAGTATAAAGGGGCTTATGGCATTTGTTTAGATGAGGAATGGGCTTTCAAGCTGTGCTGGGGTTTATGGGTCCAGATTACTGAGAAGCAAAGGGAATATGATGTTTGCAAACAGGATATGATTTTATTTAAGTTTGGGTTTCATACGTTGCTCCCTGGGGATTGTCCTGCAGACAGAAGAGAATTTCACTTTTATCATATGAAATTGGGCAGCTATCCAATCCCTCCTGCTCTCCCCCCATCCTCAAAAGACACTATTTCAAACCTGTAATGCGTAAAGTCAGGTCTTTAAATTGCAAAAGGAGTAGCTGGGGGAGAACACCACCCTGCAAGAAATCAGACTACTGCAGAATAAATGTTCAGTGAGATGATCAGGGTGGTTCATGGGCTAAATATTGAGCCATCTGAATGACTAAGAATGGCTTGTACATATTATAGAAAGTCTATTGCTTTCCCTTTAATTTTGTTGTTATGGCAGTAAAAGACACATGACATTTTCTACTGGAATAAGATGGTCTTGTTTCATTAGGTGCTGGCATTGTTTCATTAACTGAAGTGTATCTTAGATCTTTCATATCAAATAAAACTTTGGCCTGTAACTATCCAGAAAAGAAATGTAAAGCTATAAAATATCCCTACATTTTTACATAACTTACAAAATACTACTATTTTTGAATGTTGAATTTCTTCCTGGCATTCCTTGCTGTGGTAGCTGGACAGTACTACTTTTTTTGTCCTGACCACACAGGAAGAAAAGCAATAAGAAAGGCAAGTTTTCATGAGTATGAAACTTTAG